CCTAATATGCTTAATTGGTAGTAGGCTTTCGAGCCTATATAGCTTGGAGTAAGACAACATGCATGAAGAGGATGATGTGGACAAAATACTTATTTGCCTAATAATTCTGCACTCCCTGTACATAGAAAAAAGTGCTTATATGAATTTGTGTGTGCACGGGTGAATGAGACGTGTTAAATAAACACTGAGTGCTGAAGAAGAGTAGAAAAACGATATATAAGAATCAGTCAATTTACCATTTACCAGACATGATCATTGTGAGGTTCAAGTACCTTATCAAGGGCAATTTCTTAGAGTTTCTACAAAATGTAAATAAACTAAAATCAAATTAAACAGGAACACTATTTATTTTCATTCTCTTGAAGTGTATTGCTTTTTCTTTCCCTATAACAAACAGAAAATAAAACGAATACAGCAAATACAGGAAAACATATCATACCAGAACATTATGCAATGCCCTATAAAACCGTAAGTATCCATGATATCTTCCAGCTACATTTCAGCCTTTATTATCCCAAACAGCATGCGCTCCGACAAAAGCTTACCTTCCTTGCCTCTTGGAAGGTTTTATGAAGGCCGATGAAGCATAATTAATAGTAATATGATTTCGTTCCCACTGGGTTAGCAAAATGTTTTTCTATAGCCAAGAACATTCTGTGTTTCCTCACTGGCCAAAAAAAGTACCCCAATTTAATTTTCTTCTCCTGTAGTGACGAAGGCAAAGTGCCAACTTAGTAGCAGTTTGGTCAAATTTAATGCCTTTTTCTAGGCCACTCTGGTGTTGCGCAATTATAAAGGGATTGGAGAAAGTGAACAACAAGACACTTTATTTGATTGATTTTTGAAAATGCAGCACCCCTCCCAGGTCCTGAACCTTTTAACAGCACTGACCCCCTGAGTGCTGGTTTCAGTATTAAGGATAGCTAACAGGTAATAATGCTCGTGGGTATCACAGTTGTATGTATGTTTATGTGTGTGTGTGTATATTACATACTATAATATAGTATATTATAGTATATTATTGCTCTTGGCAGGGTTCCCTCTACTGATCTACTCATTTGATTGATCGGTCATTAAAAGCAACAACACTAATTCACAAATGTGCTTTACATAAAGCAAAGGTCATTGCATTGTTTTGTTTGTATATGTGTATATACACATGCTGTCCCTACAAATAAAGAGCTGAGTTGACATACTTTTTACAAGGACATATCAGTTCAGTTAAAAAATAAATATTAGTGCTGTTTTCTTTACACCAACTACCCCAGCAAAGAGACACATTTAACTAAAGTGGTTGCTTCTGCTGTCAAAAAAATATGTTTTGGGCCCCAACTTGTTTCAAATTAATGTTTGTCTTTCTCTTGTCATCCATCAGACTGACTCTTTCTCTCACTTTTCTCCATTTCTGTCAGGGATATTCGAGAATATGCCAATGGGTCAGTGTGCGTAGAGTGTGATGCCCAGTGTGAAAGAGCTGACGGTGACTCTTTGACCTGTCTTGGGCCGGTAAGTTTTCTATTACATACAACAATTTTAAGGCAGATCAAATCATTATGTTCATACATGTATTCTTAATATAGAAAGTGAACAGGGCTGTTTAAACAATTCAAATATGCTTCTGAGGAGCACGAGAATATTGTGCATCATAAGTAGTAAGACAGTAACAATACTGTATTTTTGAAAAATGAACTTTACTACGATGTATAATCAAACCAAAACATGACAGATACCATGATAACATAAAAGAAACATTGGAGGTTGGAGTTGTTGTAATAAAATAATAACTAAACAAATAAATAAAAAGGTCAGAATAAGGAAGTGTGTTTGTATTCCCAACAAACTTTAACTGTGCACTATTTTAAAAAAACCCATCAAATTATTGGAAGATTCTTTTGGTAGCAGCTGCAAATAAAATATTAAAAAAAGGGGGAGAGTGAAATTCCTGACCTTCATTTCTCTGTCTCTTGCGAATACAACACCCACAGCCACATCAGTCCCCTGACCCTGCTCTTTCTCTTAAAATCTTATCTTGCTGTTTCAGAGAAATGGATGATTCGGGACAGATGTAAGCCAACGGGTCCTTGTGTTGTCTTTTGTATCCCATCACACCCTGTCTGACAGTCTTGATCACTATAGTTTAGAAGTGTGGAACCCCTCCAACCCCCCGTCTTGCCATCTTAACTCAGACACGCACAACAAAAACAACAATATTGTTTGTGATTAAGTGTATAAGACACAACAGAAATAAACAGATTTGTTTGCTGAATCCTTTATAAAACGTTTTTGGCACTGGAAGCCAGCGTAGTATTGACCGATCATGTATGAAATCTAAACTTGACTCCATTCAAGACCTGGCTAAATCACTACGGTAACTTATGCTGAACACGTAACCTGGTTAAGAGCAGGTGATGTTCAGAGT